ACAACCTTTGAGGCAACTGAGCTTTCTTGCTATTCTTTGAAGATGTTTTGCTTCTCATCCAAGGAGCTCCTTCAGTTCTCTTCAGATAGATAGTATCTTATCTTCCTATCCTATCCTATCCTATCCTATCCTATCCTATCCTATCCTATCCTATCCTATCCTATCCTATCCTATCCTACCCTACCCTACCCTACCCTACCCTACCCTATCTTATCCTATCATAATCTGTCCTATCCTATTTTTTTGATTTGTCTGATTTGGTTCTGCAACTCAACAAGACAGACACAGACTTCAGAGGATAATTAGAACCGCAGAAAAAAACAGTCACTACCAACCTGCATTCCACTGAGGACCTGTATACTGCACGAGTCAAAAAGAGGGCTGGAAAATATTTACAGACCCTTCGCATCCTGGACATAAATTGTTTCAACTCTTACCCTCAAAACGACGCTATAGAGCACTGCACACCAGAACAAGTAGACACAAGGACAGTTTTTTCCCAAACGCCATCACTCTGCTAAACAAATAATTCCCTCAACACTGTCAAACTAGTTACTAAGTCTGCACTACTATTAATCTTCTCATCGTTCCTATCACCCATCTCCTCCCATTTATGACTGCATGACTGTAACCTTGTTGCTGGTATCCTTAAGATTTATACTGACCGTTTCCCTAATATGATTTGATTGCTTATTTGTTCCCTATGACTATCATTAAGTGTTGTACCTTATGATTCTTGACGAATGTATCTTTTCTTTTATGTATGCACCAAGACAAATGCCTTGTGTGTCCAATCACACTTGGCCAATAAAGAATTCTATTCTATTCTATCCCAGAACTTCATATAGCCATTTCTGTATCATACATCCTCCCGTTGCCCTTCATAAGAGAAAGAACAAATCAATAGTCAACATAATGTAAAAGTAAAAATTCCCCTCACACATATGTGCTAGTCGTTCCCGACTCTAGGGGGCAGTGCTCATCTCCATTTCAAAGCCGAAGAGCCAGCATTGTCCGAAGACATCTCCGTGGTCATATGGCCGGCATGACTCAATGCCAAAGGCGCACGGAACGCTGTTACCTTCCCACCAAAGGTGGTGCCTATTTTTCTACTTGCATTTTTTACGTGCTTTCGAACTGCTAGGTTGGCGATGTTCTGTCCCCCGTCCTCACACTGACAAATGCAATATCCAATACCGCTGCCAATAATGTATTGTATAAACAGACCAGAATTCCTGGCAGACGAGAGTTCTGGCAGCTACTTGTAAAACGCCTGCCAAATCCAATTAGCACTCCCAAAAAACAACTCCATTTCCAGAGCGACAAATTATCCACAAGAGTTTAGTCCAAAATATATCTGAGCCGAAGTGCAGGATGCATGATGTGACTCTTTAGAGTTTAAACGTTTGTCCGTCACAAAGCCTGCCGAGCAATCACGCCCCCTTTTATCCCTTGTGGGGCGTGGCTCAGTGACTCAGCTCAATCCATGGTCCTCCCATGCCTCTTCCTTTGCTGAGCACGCTTCTCCCTCCGACACTGGGATCAAGCCAGGATTCATCAGTATCACTCTCTATCTATGGGTACTCCGAAATGCCTTCCTCCTGGCACATCCCAGGCTGTTCCTCCTGGTCTTCGGATGGAACCTGAGGCATTGCCAGAGAGGAAGGTCCTGGAGAGGGAGGCCTTGCCAGTTCCTCCCCCTCACCTTCTGAGTCCTCTTCCTCCATGAGGACAGGCTCGGGAGCCGGAGTCACAACAGGCAGAAGCTGGGACAAGTAACGGGAGCTCACCCCGTTACATGGCACTAGGGATTTGAACCGCTGAGTTGCCTCCAACATGGCTACCTCCAAAAAGGCATAAAGTATCTTTTGGGTTTCCCCATGCAAAGGTATATGGGAAAAAGTAAAATAAAAAAATATATGAAGTCTCTTCAAACTGGTTCAACTCCTGATGACTTAATGAACACAACTAGCCTGTTTCCCCAAAATAAGACCTCCCCTGATAATAAGCCCGATCGGGCTTTTGAGCGCATGGCAATAAGGCCAAGCGCTTATTTCAGGGTTCAAAAAAATATAAGACAGGGTCTTATTTTCAGGGAAACAGGTATGTGGGACTTTTTGGCTGGAAGAGAATTTCTTTTGAGATCTCTTTCAACTTCTCAGTCCAGGTGACAGTTGGTTTCTTGTGCGAAGTTTTTCCAAGTTTTAACAAAGCCCGGCAATTCCTTCAACTTACTGAGATCATCCAAGGTCAACTCATCAACTTGGTTTAACATGTAAATGGGCGAGTGTCCCTTACGCTCTTGATGAAGACATTTCCTGCATGGATCTGTCCACTCTATGGTACCCAATTCATCAGCAGAGGCCTTGTTCCTCGCTCTTAACAAAACGAATGCATTTGTCTCGTAGCCATGTGCGTCACCAAAGTAGCTCCTTCAGCCCTTATTAAGTTTATTCCTCTCCATCAAAACCCTTTTCTTCTTTGAATCATCCATTTTTTTAAAAAAAATAAAAATAAAATTGCAGGCAATTAGGTCTGAATTCACCTGAATAGGACTTCCAATTTCCTGTAATTGATTAAGCTTTCTCATTTCTCTTCTAGTGCTCTTTCTTCTTCCCAGGATGTGCCTCAATTGTACATAACAGAGTTGTCCTGAACATGCCACTCCTCTCAAGCATAGAATGCCATGCCACGTCCTTTTCTTCTTGCCCCTTCCTTCCTTCCTTCGTCCCTTCCTTCTTTCCTTCCCTCCCTCCCTCCTTCTTTCCATTTATATAGCTAGATTCTCCCTCCCTCTTTCCCTTTCTTTTTGCCTTCCTCATTCACTCCTTCCTTCCTTCTTTCCTTCCATTCATATAGATTCCTCCCTTCCCTCCCTCCCTCCCACCCTCCTTCCTTCCACTTATACAGCTAGATTCCCTCCTTCCTTCCTTCCACTTATACTAGATTCCTTCCTCCCTCCCTCCTTTCTTTCCTTCCTCATTCACTTCCCTTCCTTCCTTTCTTCTTTCCTTCCATTCATATAGCTAGATTCCTTCCTCCTTCCTCCCTTCCCTCCCTCCCTCCTTCCTTCCTTCCACTTATATACAGCTAGATTCCTTCCTTCCTTCCTCTTATACTAGATTCCTTCCTCCCTCCCTTCTTTTCTTCCTCATTCACTTCCCTTCCTTCCTTCCTTCTTTTCTTCCATTCATATAGCTAGATTCCTTCCTAATTCACTCCTTCCTTCTTTCCTTCCCTCCCTCCCACCCTCCTTCCTTTCTTCCACTTATTCAGCTAGATTCCTGACTTTCTTCCTTCTTTCCTTCCATTGTATAGATTCCTTCCTAACTTCTTTCCTTCCTGATTCACTCCTTCCTTCCTTCCTTCCTTCCTTCCTTCCTTCTTTCCTTCTTTCCTTCCTTCAATTCATATAGCTAGATGCCTTCCTTCCTGATTCACTCCTTCCTTCTTCCCTTCCTTCCTTCTTGATTCACTCCTTCCTTCTTTTCTTCCTTCAATTCATATAGCTAGATTCCTTCCTTCCTTCCTTCCTTCCTTCCTTCCTTCCTTCCTTCCTTCCTTCCTTCCTTCCTTCCTTCTACACTCCTTCCCTCCTTCCTCCCCCCTCCTCTTTCCCCCCCCTTGCTTTTGTATGGGAGTCCAACTTCTAATTTTTGGGTGGCAAATACCATCCAATACCAAAAGAACCAAGGAAAAAAAATACAGCACATTGCTCAACACACCTGAGGTCAAACTGCAAATCTAAGCTGTACATAGACAAATCAAGGCAGTTGAAAAGAAAACTCTTTCTTTTCTCACATTCCTTTGATCTAAGGAGGAGAAGGCCTGCCGATACATGTCCACTGTTTTAGAAACTAACTTTTTTACCTTTCCAAGAAGCAGCTCTCATACCTAGTAATTCTCACTGAAAATATCTTGATGTCAGAAGTTAAATTGAGAAACAGGAAAGTGATATTCTATTACTACAAGTCTATCTATCTATCTATCTATCTATCTATCTATCTATCTATCTATCCACACTCACACACACACACACACAGAGAGAGAGAGAGAGAGAGAGAGAGAGAGAGAGAGAGAGAGAGAGATTTGTGTGTGTGGTGTCTGTGGGTGGGTGGATGTAGTTATATATTGTACATACTATATGTTTATGCATGGACCTAAGTTCACAGACAGACATACAAATATGACATCTGTTCCATCTACCTAGGGTAGGTTCACAAGTATTTGCCTTACCACTCTATTGCTACAACTGGTTGCTAAAACTCACTGTCTAAACACTAGAACAGAACAGAACAGAACAGAATAATGGAATGAGGAATAGAGTGGAATGGAGTGGAGTGAAATGGAATGGAATGCAATGGAATAGAATAGAATAGAATAGAATAGAATAGAATAGAATAGAATAGAATAGAATAGAATAGAATAGAATAGATGAGGAATAGAATGGAGTGGAGTGGAGTGAAATGGAATGGAATGCAATGGAATAGAATAGAATAGAATAGAATAGAAAGAATAGAATAGAATAGAATAGAATAGAATAGAATAGAATAGAATAGTTGAATGAGGAATAGAATAGAATAGAATAGAATAGTTTATTTATTTATTTATTTATTTATTTATTTACTTATTTATTTATTATATTTCTATACCGCCTTTCTCCCGTAGGACTCAAGGTGGTGTACAGTCAAGAAAAATATAGACACACAAACATCATAAAATTGCTAATTAAAATTATTACTTAGTTTGGTCAATTAAATAAAACCCAGAATTAGATAACATTTAAAAAATGTTTGAATGAGGAATAGAATGGAATGGAATGGAATGGAATGGAATGGGATGGGAAAGGGAAAAGACAAGGAGAGGAGAGGTGGGATGTTATTTTGTAAATACACAATCAGTCCAAGCTTCCTAATTTTTCTCGCCAACCTTACTAATCTCACTTTGGATTTTGGACCATCAGGAAAAGAAAAAAAATAAAATATAAATTGCAGGCATACCTGATTGTTCTTGCAAATCCAGACACTGTTCCCTTGCAGCAAGGTAAAAATTTTGGTTTTATAGCCTTTCAATTCCAGATAGCCGCTTTTTTCTGGAGGAACGGCCGTCCGTGCTCGAGAAATCGCCGGGAGGGACCTCAGAGCAGTGAAGAGGATGGTGACCCAGTTGTTCCGTTCTTCTAAAAAAAATAAGTGCACACAAAAAAAATTGACACAATGCTAAAACATCCACACAAGCGGCCACCCATGCCCCCTTCATGCTTGTTGAAATACAAGGGAGTCCTCGACCTACGACCACATTTGAGCCCGACATTTCCGTTCCTAAACGAGACAATTGCTAAGGGAATTCGGTCCCCATTTTACGACCTTTCTTTTGCACAGTTGTTGCCGGAATCGCCACAGTGGATCCGTAGGTAACCCGGTTGTTAAGTGAATTTAGCATCTCTCGTTGGTTTTTGCTTGCCAGAAGATCGTAAAAGGGGACTCACGTGATCCCCAGGACACTGCAACCGTTGTTAAGTTGTTAAGCGAAACACTGCGGTTGTTAAAAATCGGGGACACGCTTGCTAAGTGAATCTGTGTGGTTTTGTTGTGTGTTTTCGGTGAGCGTTGCCCCGTTTTTAAGGACTTTTCTTGCCACACTCATGAAAAAAATGACTGCAGTTGTTAAGTTAGTAACAAGGTTGTTAAGCGAATCTGGCTTCCCTATGGACGTTGCTCGTCAAAAGATAGTTAAACCTCCAAGTGGCCTCAATGCAGGGATGAAATGCTCCCGGTTCGGACCGGACCGCCTGATCCGGTAGCGATGGCGGTGGGTGGTTCGGAGAACCGGTAGCAAAAATCCCTGCCCCTCCCCACCACCATGCCCAGCTGAGCCACACGATCATCAGAGGCTTTTCTTTTTTTTTTTTAGTTTAAAAAATTTTTTCTACAACTTCTTCCGCCGAAAAAATGCTTTTAAAAGTTTAAAAAAAAAAGCCTCTGATGATCCCGTGGCTCAGCTGGGATCGTCAGAGGCTTTTAAAAGCATTTTTTTAAACCACCTCTTTTGCTGCAGAGGTTGCAGAAAAAATGCTTTAAAAAGTTTTTTTTAAAAAAAAAAAGTTGGCCACGCCCACCCAGTCACATTACCACCACCACTCACCAAGCCACGCCCACAGAACTGGTAGTAACAAATTTTACATTTCACCCCTGCCTCAATGACTCTCTTAAAAGAACGCAAATATCCAGCTGTCTGCAAGGAGTATAAACCTTTCCATTCCCCACCATCCAGTTAGAGGTGAAGAAGCTTCTTGGGTGAGAAGTCTTCAAAGAATAGCAAGAAAGTCCAGTGGCCTCTTGAGAAAGCACTTTTGGGACAACAGTGACCTGGATGACTGAGAATCTCCATAGACATTCATTCATTATTCATTCATTCATTCATTCATTGGTTCAATTTATATGCCGCCCTTCTCCGGAGACTCAGGGCGGCTTACAATGCGTTAAGCAGCAGCCATCATACTTTTGTATGGCAAGAAAAGTAGGGCTTTCGGCTCTCCTAAGCGGTGTTCTTTTTTATACAAAGTCAGCTTATTGTCCCCACAATCTGGGTCCTCATTTTACCTACCTCGAAAGGATGGAAGGCTGAGTCAACCTCGAGCCTGGTGAGATTCGAACTTGCAGTAATTGCAGGCAGCTGGTGCTACTTAACAACACTTTAGTCTGCTGCGCCACCAAGGCTCTTATTTAGCTATATACACTACAGAGCCGAAGAAGCTTCTGGGACGAGAAGCGAAACGTCTTCAAAGCAAAACCAGAAAGTCCAGTGGCCTCTTGCAAAAAGCACCTATAGCTAAATGTCTACGGAGATTCTCAGTCATCCAGGTTATAGTTGTCCCAAAGGTGCTTTTTCAAAAGGCAACTGGACGTACTGGTTTTTCTTTGAAGACGTTTTGCTTCTCATCCAAGAAGCTTCTTCAACTCTGGAGCAAAAATAGCTAAATGTCTACGGAAATTCTCATTCATGGAGGTCATGGTTGTCCCAAAGGTGCTTTTTCAAGAGGCAACTGGACTTCCTTGGTTTTCTTTGATGACATCTCACCCAAGAAGCTTCTTCAGCTCTGACTGGATGTGGGGAATGGCCTGATCCGCCAGTTGGGACCCTTTCTAGATCGGGATTCCCTATGCACAGTCACTCATGCGCTCGTCACCTCCCGTCTGGACTGCTCCAACTGGCGCAGAGTGCAGCCGCGTGGGTGGTTATGGGAACGACGTGGCGCTCCCGTGTAACACCTCTCCTGCGCGAGCTGCACTGGCTCCCGGTGGTCTTCCGGGTGCGCTTCAAGGTTTTGGTTATCACCTTTAGAGCACTCCATGGCTTAGGACCTGGTTTTCTACGGGACCTCCTGCTACCACCAATAGCCTCCCACCGGCCAGTACGCTCCCATAGAGAGAGGCTCCTCCGGGTGCCGTCAGCCAAACAATGTTGACTGGCGGCCCCTAGGGGGAGGGCCTTCTCTGTGGGGGCACCTACTATCTGGAATGAGCTCCCCCCGGAGATACAGAGGATCCCGGATCTGCACACCTTCCGTCGCGCGCTCAAGACTTTTTTATTTCATCAAGCTGGCCTGGCCTAAATCTTCTCCCCTTTTTAAATGTAAATTTTAATTTGTTTTTAAATTATTGGGTATTTTAAATTTGTCTCAGCCAAATTATTTAATTCGTTTTTATTCTATTTTCAATTTTTGTATTTTTGTGTTTTATTCTGTGGCTGTTCACCGCCCTGAGTCCTTCGGGAGTAGGGCGGTATATAAATCCAATTAAAAGAAAAAGAAAAAAGGATTGATATTCCTTGCGGACAGCTGGTCATTTGCATCCTTTTAGAGAGTCGTTGAGGCTGCTTGGAGGTTCACTGGTGTCCTCAGCTTCACTTCAGTGTTGCAAATGGGTGTGAGGAGCCTTCTTCCTTCTTGTTTTGGAAGACTGGAGATAGTTGATGTCTTATTCCTCCCCCTCTGTTGAGAAAGGGCTGTTCAATTTTCAATTTCTTAAAGGAAGCAGCCGAAGTGATGGGAAGACCATCAGGTGAAAAATTGACTGGATCTCCTTCGTAATGTTTACAAACACCCCACAACTAACTCTTGGCCTTTGGGCTTGATTTAAGATATTTGTATTTGATGTTTTTACTTGGCTGTTCACCACCCTGAGTCCTCAGGGAGAAGGGCGGTATACAAATTCAAAATAAAATAAAAAAATAAAATTAAAAAAAAAGAAGAACTGTCAGCTTTACAGAATAAAGAAAATATTAACACCTTTATTAAGGGAACCAATGTATACAATTCTCCTTATTTATTCCTCTTGTTGTTGTTGTGTTGTTGTTGTTGTTGAAGATATCAATCCCATGCTCTAATTCTAGAAGTTTCTGTACCCGGGAATCATCAAGATTTGGCACCCTTGATCTGAAAAAGCATCAAATTCTCTGCAGCCAATCAAGGAATCCTCAGAAATGTGGCCTCACCTTCCTTTTCAGCCCTGAAGACAAATATTCGGTGTGCTGTCACCACTTCAAACTTGTTGTCTCTGTGCATCCGGACGGTAGCTATCGCGGAAAGAAGAATGATGCCCTTGGAGTAGATGTCCTGTATCAAAAGCATAAAGATACGCTTATTCGCATACAAAGGGTCCCTTCACCAAAATATTCTATTCTATTCTATTCTATTCTATTCTATTCTATTCTATTCTATTCTATTCTATTCTATTCTATTCTACCCTACCCTATCCTACCCTATTCTATTCCTTAAATCTATCCTATCCTATCCTATCCTATCCTATCCTATCCTATCCTATCCTATCCTATCCTATCCTACTCTACTCTACTCTACCTTACCCTACCCTACCCTATCCTATTCCCTATTCTATCCTATCCTATCCTATCCTATCCTATCCTACCCTATCCTACTCTACTATACCCTACCCTACCCTACCCTACCCTACCCTACCCTACCCTACCCTACCCTATCCTATCCTATCCTATCCTACTCTACTCTACTCTACTCTACTCTATTCCATTCCATTCCATTCCATTCCATTCCATTCTAATTCTTTTCTATTCCTAATTCTATTCCTAATTCTATTCTGTTCTGTTCTATTCCTAATTCTATCCTATCCTATCCTATCCTATTCCTATTCCTATTCCTATTCCTAATTCTATTCTATTCTATTTTATTCTAATTCTATTCTATTTTCTATTCTGTTCTATTCTATTCTATTCCGTTTTATTCCATTCCTATTCCATTCCATTCCATTCCACTCCTTTCCATTCCATTCTTCTGTTCTGTCCTATTCTGAAATATTCTGTAAGGGTGAATACAAAAAGGAAACCAGAGTCCCTTGTCGTACAGAATGCTAAAGGAGGCAGGATTAAAAGTAGAAGAACTTCAACTGGGTGGTAGGAAGGCTGTTGTTTCTCCTCCTCCTTCTTTATTTTGCAATCGGCTTTATTTTTAAACCGAGCAAACCACGCTTGGCTTGGTTAGACTACGGGAAGCCCAAGGACTGTAAGTAAGCTAGACTAAGATATCAATCAAAACATCCCAAAACCTCTGTCTCATACTAGGAAAACTGCAAGGATTTTCTCTACGTAAGTCACAAATAGTCCACTTCAACTCACGGTTGACTCTTTTTTTTTTCTTTAAAAAAAATAGTTATTTCCAGGCAGCAGCACCAACAACCATATTCAGAGCAAGAAGTAGCTTGTATTTTTTTTTTTTTTAAAAAAAAAAAACAATTTCCGAAGAAATACATAAATATATGTATCTCACATATATATATATATGTGAGAAGAAAAAAAAAAAGCTACCACCCACATACACAGTCCAGTGGCAAATTCTCAGAAGTGGGCTACTGCTAATGCTTATGAAACTTGTGACTAAATTTCCCCTTTCTCACTATCAAGGCAGCAAATACGTATGGGCTAGTCCTCAGTTTAGGCCTGCAATTGAGCCCAAAATGTAAGCTGCTAAGTAAGACCAAAATGTAAGTTGCTAAGTAAGTTGCATAAGTAAGTTAAGTGAGTTTCGTCCTGCAGGTTCTGACAGGTTCTGGAGAACCGGTAGCGGAAATTTTGAGTAGTTCAAAAAACAGGCAAATACCACCTCTGGCTGGCCCCAGAGTGGAGAGGGAATGGGGATTTTGCAGTATCCTTCCCCGGAGTGGGGTTTGCATGGGAATTTTGCAGTATCCTTCCCCTGGAATGGGATGGGAATGGGGATTTTGCAGTATCCTTCCCCTGGAGTGGGGTGGGAATGGGCATTTTGTAGTATCTTTCCCCTGGAGTGGGGTGGGAATGGGGATTTTGTAGTATCCTTCCCCTGGAGTGGGGAGGGAATGGGGATTTTGCAGTATCGTTCCCCTGGAGTGGGGTTTGAATGTGAATTTTGCAGTATCCTTCCCCTGGAGTGGGGAGGGAATGGGGATTTTGCAGTATCCTTCCCCTGTCACACCCACCAAGCCACGCCCACCAAGCTACACCACGCCCACCAAGCCACGCCCACAGAACCAGTAATAAAAAAAATGGAGTTCACCACTGGTTTCGTCCCATTTTACGGACCATTCATGACGCAGTTGCAATTGTTAAGTTAGCAACATAGCTGCTAAGGGAATCTGGATTTCCCATTGACATTGGTTGTCAAAAAGTCGCAAAAGGGGATCCCGTGATCCCGAGAACAATGCAACCGTCATAAATGTGAGTCAGTCACCAAGCGTCTGAATTTTGATCCTGTGACTGTGGGGATATGGTAATAATGGTCGTAAGTGTAACCAAACGGCCATAACTCACTTCTTTCAGTGATGTTCTATCATATTTCAAGACCTAAACTGGACGCCTAACATCAAAAAAAAAGAGCCTTGATAGTACAGTGGTTTAGTGCACCCTGTTATTAACACAGCTGCCTGCAATTTCTGCTGGTTCGAATCTCTCCAAGGCTCAAGGTTGACTCAGCCTTCCATCCTTTCTAAGGTAGGTGAAATGAGGACCCAGTTTGTGGGGGCAATAAGCTGACTTTGTATAAAATATACAAAAGAATGAAGGCTATTGCTTAACGCATTGTAAGCCGCCCTGAGTCTCCGGAGAAGGGCGGCATATAAATCAAATTAAAAAAAATAAAATAAAATAAAAAATTAAAAAAAAAAAAACGTCATCAAAAAAGCACAACAAAGAATGTTCTTTCTGCGCCAGCTCAGAAAGCTCAAACTGCCCAAGGAGCTGCTGATAACAGTTCTACAGAGGAATTATTGAGTGTGTCATCTGCACCTCTATAACTGTCTGGTTTGGTTCTGCAACCCAACATGACAGACATGGACTTCAGAGGATCATTAGAACTGCAGAAGAAACAATGGCTACCAACCTGCCTTCCATGGAGGACCTGTCTACTGCACGAGTCAAAAAGAGGGTTGGGAAAATATTTACAGACCCCTCGCATCCTGGACATAAACTGTTTCAACTCCTACCCTCAAAACGACGCTATAGAGCACTGCACACCAGAACAACTAGACACAAGAACAGTTTTTTCCCCAATGCCATCACTCTGCTAAACAACTAATTCCCACAACACAATTGACTAAGTCTGCATTACTATTAATCTTCTCATCGTTCCTATCACCCATCTTCTCCCACATTATTATTATTATTATTATTATTATTATTATTATTATTATTATTATTATTTCAATTTATATACTGCCCTATATGACTGCATGACTGTAACTTTGTTGCTGGTATCCGTAAGATTTATATTGACTGTTTCCTAATAGGATTTGATTGCTTACTTGTACCCTATGACTATCATTAAGTGTTGTACCTTATGATTCTTGACAAACGTATCTTGTCTTTTACGTATGCACCAAGACAAATTCCTTGTGTGTCCAATCACACTTGGCCAATAAAGAATTCTATTCTATTCTATTCTATCCTAGAACTTCATATATTCATTTCTGTATCATACATCCTCCCGTTGCCCTTTCATAAAAGGGCTTGTATCCTTACGATTTATATTGACTGTTTCCTAATAGGATTTGATTGCTTATTTTGTACCCTATGACTATCATTAAGTGTTGTACCTTATGATTCTTGACAAATGTATCTTGTCTTTTTATGTACACTGAGAGCATACGCACCGAAGACAAATTCCTCGTGTGTCCAATCACACTTGGCCAATACAGAATTCTATCTATCTTATCTATGTTGTAACTTTGGAAGATTACTAAATGAACTGTTGTAAGTCGAGGACTAACTGTATGTGCCATGCAACAAAAAAAAGAAAAGAAAAGAAAAGAAAATAGGACATGGTCCAAAAAAAATTCCTACTACAAAGAGTGTTTTATTTCCTGGACAATTTTGATGGCCATATTTCTCGTGGGTTAAAGCCATGCCTGCTTACATTCAATCATATTCTCATACGCTCAAGTTTTCGAGATGCAATCAGGTCGCTACAGAAAGAAATTTCTCTCCATTTCATCGGAATGATTTAACTCTGTTGCAAAATTCATGGCAGTTTTCTTCCATCCAGATATTATATTCTGGCATCTACAGGCATCTGCTGACTACAGCTGGAACTGCAGTCGCTCTCTACAGCAGTGGCCAAAATTGTGGAAACCTTTTGGGGGGGGAAAGTGTATTTTTCAGGTTTGATGTGGCTAATAACACCACTTTTTGGGGGGGAGTTTCAAGATAATCCTATTCCACCGCTGGAATGGCCTGGGAATAGCCCAGATCTTCACCCAATTGAAAATCTATGGAGCCGACTAAAGAAACTTGTTAGTCAGAAGCGACCCAGCAATAAAACCCAGTTAACATAAGCCATCATTCAATCTTGGTTTCACATTATGACAGCTGCAGAACTAAAAGACTTGGTTCACTCCATGGGAAGATATTGTAAGGCCATCATTCGTGCTAAAGGTTACCCAACTAAGGATTTAACTGACATGGGGATCATATTTGCATATCTCGTTTTTTCGGCATGCTTCATTTTTCTTCTTTATACTGTAACTGCTATTCTAATAGCAAATCCTTCCTAAAAGTTATTGCATGACATTCTTGATTAAATGATCTTTCCATTGATATCTAATTTTATGGTACTACTCCAAAAAAAAAAAAGTGGTGTTATTAGCTAGTTTTAGAAAATACACACTTTTCCCAAAAGGTTTCCACAATTTTGGCCACTACTGTATTTACTAGATTTTTTTCACCATCTCTTCCTTTTACCAAATCCTCTATCCTTAGAAAAAGTAGCTTATATCCGAAATGAAAGCTTTGGAGTGGGCAAAGTACTACGAAGAGCCTTGGTAGTACAGTGGTCTAAGGCACCCTGTTATTAAGCTGGTTATTAAGACCAGCTGCCTGCAATTACTGCAGGTTCGAATCTCTCCAAGGCTCAAGGTTGACTCAGCCTTCCATCCTTTCAAAGGTAGGTGAAATGAGGACCCAGTTTGTGGGGGCAATAAGCTGGCTTTGTATAAATATACAAAAGGATGAAGGCTATTGCTGAACACATTTGTAAGCCGCCCTGAGTCTCCGATGAAGGGTGGCATATAAATCAAAAATTTTTAAAAAAAATAAAATAAAAAAAAAACTACAATCTTACTACAGAACTGGGCTTTCAAATCATCCTTAAAGGAGAGAAGGGACACAGGGTGACTTTCGGTCTGAAAAGAAAAAGGAAGGAGCATTTCCAGGCCCTCGTTCGGAAGTCGAAGGGAGCAGAAGCGTAGGAGTAATTTAAACAAAGAGGGGTAAAAATCGAAGCTTAAGGAGAGCTTTTCGGTAAGCAGCAGAAGGGTAAGCAATTTCAGTGCAGAAATGTAGCAAGGAGGAAGGAAGGAAGGAAGGAAGGATCAAAGAGAGGAAGGAGGGGGAGAGGGAAGGAAGGAGAAGGGAAATGAGCGAAGAAGAAGAGAAGGGAAGGAAAGGAAAGGAAAGGAAGGGACAGGAGAGATGGGAAGGGGAGGGAGAGAGGGGAGGAAAGGATAGCTCCAGGAGCCTGGATAGCTCAACAGACTAAGCACTGTAATTTAACACCAGCTGTCTGCAATTAAAGTAAGTTCGAATCTCGCCAGGCTCAAGGTTGACTCAGCCTTCCATCCTTTCTAAGGTAGGTAAATTGAGGACCCGGTTTGTGGGGGCAATAAGCTGACTTTGTATAAAATATATACAAAAGTATGAAGACTATTGCTTAAAGCACTGTAAGCCACCCTGAGTCTCCAGAGAAGGGCGGCATATAAATCAAATTTTAAAAAAGGGGGGGAAGGGAAGGAAGGGAGGGTGGGAGGGAGAGAGGGGAGGGGAGGGAAGGGAAGGGAAGGGAAGCAGGGGAGGAGAGTGAGGGGAGGAAGGGAAGGGAAGGGAAGGGAAGGGAAGGGAAGGGAAGGGAAGGGTCAGCTCCATGGGAAGCCTAAAACTATTTTTATTGAGATTGACCATATAACAGACTTTTGCAAGTCTTACAATGTTCTCCCTTCTCCTTCTTATACTGCAGTGAATTAGGGAAGGATCTGCCTGAGCCAGTTCTGAATGTTGTTTTGTGGTGGATTTAAAAATACTTTTGCTAAGGAATAATTCCTGCCTATCTCCATCCAGGTCATATGCCTTACTTTTCTATGTCTAATAACTGCCTTCCACCTTCAGGGAGAATGAGGATCAGACCGTGAGTGACCCTGCTATCCAAAATCCTACATTTAAGCAGTTGTCTACGGCTAAGTCCACACTAATAATTTGCTCAGAGTAGAATATATATTATTTAACACGACAGACTTACCTTCTCGTTATTGTAATAAGCCATGCTTTCGCCATCAAACTTCACCCAGCGTTTCTGAAACACGTGCTTCCTACATGGGAAGAAAGTCAAAAGCAATTTGAAAAAGGGAGGAGGAGGAGGAGCAGGAGCAGCAAGAGGAAGAGAAGAAGGGAGAGGAAGAGGAGCAGGAGGAGGAGGAGGAGGAGGAGGAAGACAAAGAGGAGGGGATGGGGAGGAGGAGGAAGAGGAGGAGGAGGAGGAAGACAAAGAGGAGGGGATGGGGAGAGGAGGAAGAGGAGGAGGAGGAGGAAGACAAAGAGGAGGGGATGGGGAGGAGGAGGAAGAGGAGGAGGAGGAAGAGGAGGGGGGAGGAGGAAGAAGAAGAGAAGAAGGGAAAGGAAGAGGAGGAGGAGGAAGAGGAGGAGGAGGAAGACAAAGAGGAGGAAGAGGAAGAAGAGGAGGAGGAGGGAGAGGAAGAAGAGGAGGAGGGGGAGGAGGAAGAAGAGGAGAAGAAGGGAGAGGAAGAGGAGGAGGAGGAAGAGGAGGAGGAGGAGGAAGACAAAGAGGAGGAGATGGGGAGGAGGAGGAAGAGGAGGAAGAAGAGGAGGAGGGGGGAGGAGGAAGAAGAGGAGAAGAAGGGAGAGGAAGAGGAGGAGGAGGAAGACAAAGAGGAGGGGACGGGGAGGAGGAGGAAGAGGAGGAAGAGGAAGAAGAGGAGGAGAAGGGAGAGGAAGAAGGGGAGGAGGAAGGGGAGAAGAAGGAGGAGGAGGAGGAGTTCTGCTAGACAAATTTCCTTTCCTGTCTAGTCAGTAAAGTCTACAAATGGCAAAAATAGCACAAGAGTTCCTCTCGTTCAGGAACCTTCACAACAAAGAGGTTGCAACACCACGCATTCTCCTCTGAATTCACTTGTCATGAAATGGGCCTTTCGTGACGCAAAAGGAAGACCTCTATGAGGAATAGGTTGCCCTTCATTTTTATTTACTTATTTATTTATATCCGTCTTTTATTTGTTTTATATACAACTCAACGCGTACCACATACTTCTTCCTCCTGTTTTCTCTCCCACAACCACCTTGTGAGGTGAGTCGGGTTGAGAGAGAGTTGACTGGCTCAAAGTCACCAGCTGGTTTTCAGAACTAAGGCAGGACTACAACTCACCATCTCCTGGTGATTGACCCAAAGTTACCTAGCTGCTTTCCTGCCTGAGGCGAGACTAGAACTCACCATCTCCTGGTGATTGACTCCAAGTCACCTAGCTGGCTTTCCTGCCTGAGGCGGTACTAGAATCCACCATCTCCTGGTGATTGACCCAAAGTTACCTAGCTGCTTTCCTGCCTAAGGCAGTACTAAACTCACCATCTCCTGGTGATTGACTCCAAGTCACCTAGCTGCTTTCACGCCTAAGGTAGTACTAGAACTCACCATCTCCTGGTGATTGACCCAAAGTTACCTAGCTGCTTTCCTGCCTAAGGCGGTACTAGAACTCACCATCTCCTGGTGATTGACCCAAAGTGAACTAGCTACCTTTCATGCCTGAGGCAAGACTAGAACTCACTATCTCCTGGTGATTGACCCAAAGTCACCTAGTTCCTGCCTGAGGCGAGACTAGAGCTCACCATCTCCTGATGATTGACCCAAAGTTACCTAGCTGCTGTCATGCCTATGGCAGAACTAGAATTCATTGTCCCCTGGTGATCAACCCAAAGTGAACTAGCAAGCTTTCATGCCTGAGGTGAGACTAGAACTCACCATCTCCTGGTGATTGACCCAAAATCAACTAACTGCTTTCATGCCTAAGGCGGTACTAGAATTCAATGTATCCTGGTGATTGACCCAAAGTGAACTAGCCAGCTTTCATGCCTGAGGCGGGACTAGAACTCACCCCTTCCCGATGATTGACTCAAAATCACCCAATCTGCTTTCCTGCCTAAGGTGGTGCTAGAACTCACCGTCCCCCAGTTTCTAGCCTGCTGCCTCAACCTGTAGGCCAGGGGTGTCAAACTCAGTTTCACTGAGGGCTGTGGTTGACCTCGGGGGGTGGGGGACGGGACACTGGGTGGGTGTAGCCAACTGGATGGGTGTGGCCATCTTGACGTCACTCACTGGGTGGGGCCAATTGGGTGGGCGTGGCCAGCTTGACGCCACTCCCCAAACTGTTATCATGTTTCCTCTTCGCACTGGGTAGACCAGGCCGAAGCCATACTGGCCTGATGTTTCCTCTTCACATTGGGTAGACCAGGCCCAAGCGACGCTGGCCGGCCCCTTACATTTTCTAGGACAGCCCCACTGACCGGATCTGACCACAGACAGACAGCCCCACGAGCCTTGTATTCGACACCCCTGCCGTAGACAAAACTGGGTCTCTAACATCAATAAAATCATCATAATTACATAATCATTATAACGGACTCTTTTTTTTGGCAACGTACCCTTGAGGAGAGAGTTTATCCAGCCAACCTTCCTTAACCTTCTTTGCTGCCGGAGCGTAAAAGCAGGCATAAGGTGTGATTGTGTCGTGGAAGCCAGGGACTAATTCATCACCGCAAACAGCCGGGGAAGAAAACATCTGGTCTTTCACATCGAGATCCAGACTCCCGCTTTTGAATTCTCCGAGGCCCTTTGTAGGTTTATATTTTCCCCTCCAAGCGTAGCGAGAACATTCTTTCAATAAAGAAGATTCAGCTTCACCGACAAATCTGTTCGGAAAGGGACTCTGGTCTCCTTGGGAAGTCAATTCAGAGTCCTTTACGTTTTCGGAGGTTTTCTGAGTTTGATTACTAGTAGCCAAACTAAAGAAGAAGAAGAAAAGAGGGAGGGGAAAAGGATAATGTTACTTCCAGCATCCCATTTGGCTCCGAAGAGATGCTGGCACCTGGTGATTTTGGAATGTGATTTTCCTGCTGATAAAACAGGTTGCTTTTCTATCTTCAAAATCAAACCCACAGCTCTAGGATTACCATATTTTTCGGAGTATAAGACGCACCTTTCCCCCCCCAAAAAAAGAGGATGAAAATCTGGGTGCGTCTTATACTCCGAATGTAGCCCCGCCCAGCTTCTCAAACGGAGGTTTTAGAGGCTGAAAAAAGCATCAGAAAAGAAGCTTCAGAAAAGAAGCCTCCAAACAGAACTTCAGAAAAGAAGCCTCCAAACAAGAGCTTCAGAAAAGAAGCCTCCAAACAGAGCTTCAAAAAAGAAGCCTCCAAACAGAGCTTCAGAAAAGAAGCCTCCAAATAGAGCATCAGAGGCTTTTTTTCTGTTTCGGAGGCTTTCGGAGGCAGGAATTTTTTTTTTTTTCTGAAACAGAGTTTCAGAAGTTTCAGAGGCTGAAAAAAAAGCAAAAAAAGGCAAGGCACAGAGCTCACAACCAAGGAACCTATTGCTAAAATTCACCTCTGGAAACAGCTGATTGGGGGTATTCCGGGAGGCCGATCCACCTACCAATCAGCTTTTTACTTATTTTCCTCCCCAAAAACTACGGTGCGTCTTATACTCCGGTGCGTCTTATACTCCAAAAAATATGGTAGCTAGTAAACTACAAGCAACTCCTTGGTTTACAACTGCAATGGAGCCCAACATTTCTTGTCGCTAAGCAAGGCAGCAGTTCAGGGAGTATTGCGATTTTTTCCCCTACTTTTCATTGTGTTTATTTACACAGGGAAGCAACTGTCACCGTAACAGGAAGAGATTACAGAGAAATATACAGCCAGCAGAGATGCATCAAGCTGATCTTTCAGCTGCAGAAATTTTAATCTGGGCCACTTATTAAAGGTGAGTGTCTTGGACCAATTTAGCCTTGCTTCATCACACACAACTCAAAAGAGTAGGGGAAAAAGGAAAGTGGAAATCAGAGAGAATATTTCCTGACCCTATTAACCAGGGGTGAAATCCAGCAGGTTCTGACAGGTTCTGGAGAACCAGTAGCAGAAATTTTGAGCAGTTTGGAGAACTGGCAAATGCCACCTCTGGCTGGCTCCAGAGTGGGGTGGGAATGGAGATTTTGTAATATCCTTCTTCCAGGAGTAGGGAGGGAATGGGGATTTTGCAGTATCCTTTCCCTAGAGTGGGGTGAGAATAGAGATTTTGCAGTATCCTTCCCCTGCCATGCCCACCAAGCCACGCCCACACAATCAGTAGTAAAAAAATTTGGATTTCACCACTGCTATTAACCTGTGATACCCAGCTCTGCGGCCATACGGCTCAGTCCAAATTTCTAAGAATTGTCCTCCGAGTTCTTTAGAGATCCCGTTTTGACTCTACCATCTCTGCTCCAACTCATCGTCTTTGAAAGTTCTGCATTGCCACCACTTTGTAAGAAAACTACTCCTTAATGCAGGGGTTGGCAACCTTAGACTCTCAAAGAGCCACAAAGGTCCTAACCGGAAGCCCCCGTTCAATTCTGGAGCCGACCGGAAGTCCGGTTCCCCCATCATAGTCTCCTCCTAGTACGGTGTCCTTTTTTCTCTGCTGACCGGATGTCCGGTTCCCCCACCAAAGAGTCTCCTCCTAGTGCAGCATCCTTTTTCCTCTACCTGTCCTAACCGAAAGCCCTATCAATTGTGGAGCGGACCAGCAACAGGGAGCTGCAGCAGAGGGATGAAAGAGCCACATGCGGCTCCAGAGCCACGGGATACTGACCCCTGAGTAAGAAACTGATAGATACAGATTAACAGAGTTGGAAGGGACCTTGTAGGTCATCTAGTCCAACCCCCCACCCAAGCAAGAGACCCTACACCATTTCTGACAAATGGCAGTCCAATCTCTTCTTGAAACTTCCAGTGATGAAGCTCCCACAACTTCTGAAGGCAACTTCTGTTCCATGGGTTGATTGTTCTCATTGTCAGAAAAATTCTCCTTATTTCTAGGTTGAATCCTTGATCAGTTTCCATCCATTATTCCTTGTTTGGCCTTCAGGTGCTTTGTAAAATAGCTTGACCTCTTCCTCCTCTCTGTGGGAGCCGCTCAAATATTTGAAGACTGCTATCCTGTCTCCCCTCGTCCTTCTCTTCACTAGACTAGCCATGCTCAGTTCCTGCAACCGTTCATTGTATGTTTTAGCCTCCAGTCCCCTAATCAGGGGTGAAATGCTCCCGGTTTTGGACCGGTTCAACCGAACCGGCCGGTGGTTCAGAGAACCGGTACTGATGGCAGCTCGAGGCTCCACCCACCCGCCTGATCGTCCTTACTTCTTGGTTTTAACCAGGAAGTAACCTTTTTTTTTACCCTCTGTGCATGCGCAGAAGGGTTTGCAAATGCGCAGAGGGTCAGCGCGTGCATGTGATGCGTGTGTGCAAGCAAAGCGAGCGCATGTGATGTGCATGACACATGCACTTCCGAATCAGTAGGGAAGGTAAGTAGATTTCACCCCTGCCCCTAATCTTCCTGGTTGCTCTTCCCTGCACTTTTTCTAGAGTCTCAACATCTTTTTTTACAGTGTGGTGACCAGCTCTGGATGCAGTATTCTAGGTGTGGTCTTAATAAGGCTTTATAAAGGGGTATTAGTACCTCACTTGATCTTGATTGTATCCTTCTGTTCATGCAATTTAGGATTGTGTTGGCTTTTTTGGCTGCCACCGGAAACTGCTGGCTCATATTTAACTGGTTACTTAGCCTGATATTGTCCGCAGGAAGAGAAGTGAGCTGAAACCCCCCCCAAAAGCTAACAAAGAAATATGATTATTTCAGCCCATGGAGGAAACTGAATTAGCAACCATGCATCCTGGTGCTTCTTTTCTTGAACTTGGTATAAAAATGTAAGCACACGCCTCCCCTAACCCAAACATAACAAAAACAGAGGCTGGCCTTATTCATTTCCTTCCTACCAGACACTTAGAAATGAGCTCCAGATGGAGAGAACAACATCCTGCCTGCAATGCAGGAGATGACTTTGTTCCTATTAGCAAAGTCTGGAAAATGTAAAAAAGAAGTGGAGACTCTAGAAAGAGTGCAGAGAAGAGCAACAAAGATGATTAGGAGGCTAAAACAAGAATGGTTGATGAAATTGAGTATGTCTAGTTTAATGGAAAGAAGCACTAGAGGGAACGTGAGAGCAGTCTTCCACAGGGGTGAAATGCTATCGGTTTAGATCGGTTCGCCCGAACCGGTAATTTTTTTTTTTTTTAAAAAAAAAAGAGGATTTAAGCAACCTTCTAAAACAATGAATCTCAATCCAAATCAAATCTTCCAGCTGGGTGTGTAGACCCTGCTTTATATCATCTGTGAATGCTACAGTTTAAAAAAATAAATTAAAAATAAGACCGATGTACAATTTTGACCCACGTTCATGTGTAATCAATGAATCCGAAATAGATTTGGATTTTTTTTCCCCCCCTGCATTTTTAATCCAATACCCTGTTCTGCTCGGCATTCTTTTCTTTTCTTTATCCTCTTCTAACACCTCTGAGGGTTCCTTGCTGTAGATTTCCTGGAAGAATAATAAATAAGAGAGTTAGACAAAGTTAAGGCAAATTGTCCCGGTCTTTAGATTACAGTATTAACAGGGGTGAAATGCTACCGATTTGGTCCGGTTCGGGCAAATCGGTAGTAAAAAAAATGCTACCTGTTCAGGCGAACCAGTATTTCCGATGATCAGCTGGGCGACGATCAGCTGTGACGCACGATTTATATTAGCCAGACTCGTCAGATTTCCTGCTTTCTAGTTAATCTAAATCGTGTGGCACAGCAGATTCCCCCCACCCCTCACTGTTCTATTTATGTTTGCAGACTCGGAAGGCTTCCTAAGACTGGACTAGAACTCCCAGTTTCTGGTGATTGGCCCAAAGTCACCCAGCTGGATTTTATGGCTAAGGTGGGATTTGATGGTCTCTTACCTTCTAGGCTGGTGCCTTAACCACTAGGCCAAGTGCTGGTCTTGCTCAGTGGAGCTATAATGTTCCTTCTCAACAGTCCGCAGTTGGGATCTAACTAAGAGATCAACCGATATGTACCTAGGCCTATTACCTGTACACAAAACTATACCTATATCTATCTACAATTGCCCTTGGAAAGATAAAGCCTAGGCCTCAGGCCCAGCACTGACATCTGGAGGCCCCTCGGTGAGGAAGAAGGGAAGTTTTAAAATGTGATGGGTGGGTGGGTGGGTGGGTGGGTGATGGAAGGAAAGAAAGAAAGAAAGAAAGAAAGAAAGAAAGAAAGAAAGAAAGAAAGAAAGAAAGAAAGAAGAGAGAGAGAGAGAAGATTAGAGACAGACAGACAGACAGAGATGGATGGATGATGGAGATGGATGGATGGATGGACGGATGGACAGACAGACAGACAGACAGATAGATTAGAGAGACAGACAGACAGAGACAGAGTGATGATGGATGGATAGATAGATAGATTATATAGAGAGAGACAGACAGTCAGATAGACAGAGACAGACAGTGATGGATGGATGGATGGATGGATGGATGGATAGATAGATAGATAGATAGATAGATAGATAGATAGATAGATAGATAAGAGAGAGAGACAAACAGCAGACAGAGACAGAGTGATGATGGATGGATAGATAGATTATATATATAGAGAGAGACAGACAGACAGATAGACAGAGACAGACAGTGATAGATGGATGGATGGATGGATGGATGGATGGATGGATGGATGATGGACGGATGAGACAGACAGACAGACAGACAGACAGATAGATTAGAGAGACAGACAGACAGAGACAGAGTGATGATGGATGGATAGATAGATAGATTATAGAGAGAGACAGACAGTCAGATAGACAGAGACAGACAGTGATGGATGGATGGATGGATGGATGGATGATGGATGGATGGATAGATAGATAGATAGATAGATAGATAGATAGATAGATAGATAGATAAAGAAGAGAGAGACAAACAGGCAGACAGAGACAGAGTGATGATGGATGGATGGATGGATGGATGGATGGATGGATGGATGGATAGAAAGAAAGAAAGAAAAATAGATAGATTAGAGAGAGAGACAGACAGACAGACAGACAGAGAAAGTGATGATAGATGGATAAATTGCTGGATGATTTAAGAGTACTGGCCTCAGTTGTTTTACCTGTATACATACCCATACCCAAATAGCCCAGTTCACCTGGTGTAAACACCATAGTTGTAAAAGCTTCCTCTTAAGCAGGCCACGTTCAGCCTGCCAAATCATTTAAGTACGCTCTTATCTTAGACCGGAGCAGCTACCTCTCCTTCAAGATCTCAGCATCTGACCTCAAACTAAGGTTAGATTTTCTGGAGTAGGAGGGGAACACCTACTCATTCTGTTTTACGTACAACCAGGACAACCTACGGCCTTGCCCACGGAGCCCACATGAAGGGCGCGTGGTCAGTGGAAGGAGGAAACAGACAAGGGGAACTTCTCTCCACGAAGTTTCACTTCGAGTCACTGAAACCCGCAGTGCAATTTCCTTTATTCCGGATTTGTTGGCAGGTTCCGCTGGTTAGCTGACAATGTGCCACCTCAGGGTGGCCACGCTGAAGAGGGGAAGTGGCGGAGAACCACAAAAAATGCACGAGGTCACGGACGGGTGGAGGCTAAGTTTGGAGACGCTTTGTGGGTTCCAGCTCTGAGGTCTCTATTCTTAAATGTTCTTCAATTGTTCTTAAATGTTCTTTCATAACTTAAATGTCAGTTATCACACTCAAATCAGCCAGGAAACATATTGGCATTTCATAAAATAAATCACATAATGGCAAAGTTGGAAGGGACCCTTGGAGGTCATCCAGTCCAACCCCCTGCTCAAGCAGGAGATTGTTACAGAATCACATAATGACAAAGTTGGAAGGGACCCTTGGAGGTCATCCAGTCCAACCCCTGGCTCGAGCAGGAGACCTTAGTCCCGTGATGGCGAATCTATGGCACGCGTGCCACCTGGAGCCGTATCGGTGGGCACACGAGCTAAGCTCCGGAGCATATGCGCGCGCCGGCCACCTGATTTTTCAGGCCTTCTGGGCCCACCGGAAGTAGGGAAACAGGCTGTTTCCTGCCTCCGGAGGGCCTGGGGGTGGGTAGGGAAGGCCCGTTTTTTGCTCTCCCCAGGCTCCAGAGCCTCTCTAGGAGCCTGGGGAGGGCAAAAACAGCCTCCCCCCCCACCAGAGGCCCTCCGGTGGCTGGAAACGGCCCGTTTGCCAACTTCCGGTGGGATTGGAAGGCCCATTTTCTCCAAAGCACCTGAGGGCAGGACAAGAAGCAATGGGTGGAAACTAATCAAGGAGAGAAGCAACTTAGAACCTGCTGGATTTCACCCCTGCTTCCAACTCCGTTATTCTATTCCATCTCTTAGATCCACTGTACAGATTGTGCATATAGGAAAAATGCCCTACTTGCTTAATGATTTAAATGGGGTCTCAAATTAACCTCCCCCCAAAAAAACAAACCCCCAACTCTCTCTAGGAATGCAGCTATGCTGTTTCAGCTGCTCCATTGCAAATTGCAATTATGATGGGCTATGCAGAGCCACGGAGAATATTTTAATGTAATCCCAGGCATTATTTTCCTGGAGTGAATTCCTTTCATTAGGGCGTTAGTAAATAATTCCATTCATATAGGTGGATGGCTGCGGGCTGATTGTCTGCGTAGGTTGAGGCGTATTGATGTCCACACACCTTCCCTAACTTTACACAATAAGAAAGCACAGCACTGGTAAATTAATTCGGAATTTCCAATGGTGTGGGGAAATGGTTTCATAGCAGAAGTGAACGTCTTCTGAAATCCATAGGCACTTTCAGAGGGGGAAGGATGCCATTTAACTGTGTTTTAAAGAAACAACTATATTCTGTTGGCAAATATTATTTTAATACCCAGGCTGGTTTTTCAGGTTGTTAAAATGCAACGAAAGAACAGGACAGGACAGGACAGGACAGGACAGGGCAGGGCAGGATAGGATAAGAAATAGGATAGGATAGGATAGGATAGGATAGGATAGGATAGGATAGGATAGGATAGGATAAGAAATAAAATGGAATGGAATGGAATGGAATGGAATGGAATAGAATAGAATAGAATAGAATAGAATAGAATAGAATAGAATAGAATAGAATAGAATAGAATAGAATAGAATAATGGAATGTGGAATAGAATGCAATGCAATGGAAAGGAAAGGGACAGAACAGAAGAATGGGATGGGATGGGATGGGATGGAATGGGTTGGGTTAGAGTAGGGTAGGGTAGGGTAGGTAGGGTAGGGTAGGGTAGGGAAAGGAATCCGGCAAGGCTGTATACTGTCACCCTGTCTATTTATTTATTTTTAATTTGATTTATATGCCGCCCTTCTCCGGAGACTCAGGGCGGCTTACAATGCGTTAAGCAATAGCCTTCATACTTTTGTATATTTTTACAAAGTCAGCTTATTGCCCCCACAAACTGGGTCCTCAATTTACCTACCTTAGAAAGGATGGAAGGCTGAGTCAACCTTGAGCCTGGGGAGATTCGAACTTACAGTAATTGCAGACAGCTGGAGTTAAATTACAATGCATTAGTCTGCTGAGCTATCCAGGCTCCATATTTAACTTATATGCAGAGCACATCATGAGAAAGGCGGGGCTAGATGAATCAAAAGTTGGAATTAAGATTGCCGGGAGAAATATCAACACCCTCAGATATGCAGATGATACCACTCTAATGGCAGAAAGTAAAGAGGAACTAAAGAGCCTCTTGATGCGGGTGAAGGAGGAGAATGCAAAAGTCGGCTTGGAACTCAACATTAAAAAAACTAGGATCATGGCATCCGGGCCTCTCAATTCTTGGCAAATAGATGGGGAAGAAATGGAGGAAGTGACGGATTTTATTTTCCTGGGCTCCAAGATCACCACAGATGGGGACTGCAGCCAAGAAATTAAAAGAGGCTTGCTCCTGGGGAGGAAAGCTATGGCAAATCTAGACAGCATTCTACTGTAAAAAGCAGAGACATCACCCTACCAACAAAAGAGCGTATAGTCAAGGCTATGGTATTCCCAGTTGCAGTGTCTGGCTGTGAAAGTTGGACCATAAGAAAGGCTGAGCACCAAAGGATGGAGGCCTTTGAACTCTGGTGCTGGGGAAGATTCCTGCAAGTCCCTTGGACTGCAAGGCGATCCAACCGGTCAGTCCTAGAGGAGATCAACCCTGACTGCCCTTTAGAAGGCCAGATCCTGAAGAGGAAACTCAGATACTTTGGCCACCTGATGAGAAGGAAGGACTCCCTGGAGAAGAGCCTAATGCTGGGAACAGTTGAGGGCAAAAGAAGAAGGGGACGACAGAGAACGAGGTGGCTGGATGGAGTTACTGAAGCAGTAGGCATGAGTTAAATGGACTCCAGAGGATGGTAGAGGACAGGAAGGCCTGGAGAAAAGTTGTCCATGGGGTCACGATGGGTCGGACACGACTTTGCAACTAACAGCAACAACAACAAGGATAAGGTAGGGTAGGGTAAGGTAGGGCCATTTTTCCGTCTCCCGTTTTTTGCTCTCACCAGGCTCCAGAGCTTTTCTAGGAGTCTGGAGAGGGCGAAAATGGCCTTACCCACCCCCCTGAGGCCCTACAGAAGCCGGAAACCACTAGTTTTCCACCTTCCAGACCTATCAGAAGTCAGCAAACAGCCTGTTTGCCGACTTCCAACCGGAGGGTCTCTGGGGGGGTGGGGAAGGCTGTTTTCACCCTCCCCAGGCTCCTAGGAAGGCTCTGGAGCCTGGGGAGAGCAAAAAACAGACCTTCCGATCCCACCAGAAGTTGGCAAACGAGCCGTTTCTGGCCTCTGGAGGGCCTCCAAGGGGTGGGGAAGGCCGTTTTCGCCCTCTCCAGGCTCCTAGAAAGCCTCTGCAGCCTGGGGAGAGAGAAAAATGGGTCTTCCCCACCACCCCCCGAGGCCCTCCGGAGGCAGGAAACAGCCTGTTTCCCTACTTCCGGTGGGCCCAGAATTCCTGAAAAGTCAGCTGGCCGGCACGCGCATCTTGTTCACATGATTACGTTTCTTGAATGGATTGGTAATGCCATCCTGGACTAGGCCTACTTTTGGCGTTATCCAGCAAAGATAAAGATAAATAGAAAGAGAGACTCATAACATGAGTGTCTGTCTGTCTGTCTCTCTCTCTCTCTCTCTCCTTCTCCACCCCCCTCTCTCCCTCTTTCCCTTTCTCCCTTTCTCCCTTTCCCACCAGTGGTAGTATTCAGCCAGTTCGGACAAGTTGGGCGAACCGGTAGTGACGACCTGCGAGTGGGCCCGCCCATCCACCCAACCGCCCTGGTGCTATGCTGTCCTATCTAACCACATTTTCTAAGCTGCGTGCATGCGTGCAAGCGAGAGCAAAGCACATCCGTGAAAGGCCGTGCACATGTAGGGAAGGCGTGCAGGCTCTCACATTTTCGGTGTGCGGCAAACCGGTGGTAAAATTATGTGTGTTAGGAAATGAATATTACCTACCTTGTTGGGTTGGCAATATATAAACCATCAATATAGCTTTAAGACTGCTGTATTGCATCATACTGTGTCCTCATTGGTTAGCTCTGTAGCCAATCTCCTTAAGAGGGAGCTAGAAACATGGTTTGTTTCTTTTTGCTGTTCTTGCTCTCTGATATCTCTGTATGCTACTGTTTGCAAATCCAGAAGAACTGTTTATTGTGAATGACTACAACGACTGGTAAGAAGACTTTGTTATTGGATTATCCCTGGACTGTCGTTTTGCTATCTCCTGCTTTATATGTGTATGACCTGGACTGTTTATTGGACTGTGCCTTACTATTTCCTGAAAGTAAACACAACTCAGTGTATCTGTGTGCTGACTGTGTTTTATTCATACCTACTCTCAATCACTTTCATGTACACACCCTTGCTACTCAAGAGTTACTCTGCGAATTCCTTAACAATGTGAAACCCACCTCCGTCTCCCACACATTCAACCGTTCCACCATTATTGGAACGTAACTGCAGACTTCTAGGTAGTAAGCAACTCACCATGTCTTCAGGAGAATTCATAAGGAAGGTCTCACCATAGGGAGAAATGGGAGGTGGCTTTTCTTCAGCTGGCTCTCCTGGGAAAATAAAACAGACAAGACACGCTCACAGTGTCATCCTGTGTCATCTCTAACACATGGTCCTTTGTGACTGCATATCAGTTCCGACCTGCAGAAAAATCCTAGCTTGCAAATGGTTGACCGATCTCTTTTTGAAAGCCTACAGAGACGGAGCATCCACAATTTCTGGAGGCAAATTTGTTCCACCGGTTAATTAACTCTCACTTTTAGGAAATTTCTCCTTAGTTCTAGGTTGCTTCTCATCTTGGTTAGTTTCCATCCGTTGTTTCTTCTCTTGCATTTTGGTGCTTTGGAAAATAGTTTGAGACACCCCCCCCTCTCGTCTTTGTAGGAGCCCCTCAAATATTGGAAGACTGCTATCATGTCCCCTCTAGTCCTTCTTTTCATTAGACTAGACATACCCAATTCCTGGAACCGTTCTTCATATGTTTTAGTCTCCGTGCCTTTAATTATCTTAGTTGCCTTTCTCCGCACTTCTTTCAGAATAGTGCTCTGGTCAAATATAGGGTTTTTTTGCAAATCCTCAAGTTGGCACATTCCAGGAAGAAGTAATTGCATTTATGAAATTTGGCTTTGAAACAAAGTTTAAAGTATTTTGGGGTACTTGATATTCTCAAGTAAACATTTTTTAAAATGTTATCTAATTTTAGGTTCTATTTAATTGGGCCAAACTGTGTTATAATAATAATTTTAATTAGCAATTTTATGATGGTTGGGTATCTATATTTTTCTTGACTGTACACCGCCTTGAGTCCTACGGGAGAAAGGCGGTATAGAAGTATAATAAATAAATAAATAAAATAAAATAAGTATCTGGAAAAACAAAAATGGAATTTCTAGGCCTTTCTGACTTCAATGTTGCCAAGCTATATCTACGGCTCCCATTGCTAAGTATAGATCTGATACTACTTGCAACATACAAATGATTCTGGACAGAGATCATTTATGGATGATCACAATGAAATATGATAATCCTTTACAGAAACTGCCCTGTGGATTTTTTTCCCCTTACAGTCACGCCAGAGAAGAAACACATATTATTATGTCTGCTATTGTTTTATTCTTCTCTCTCTCTCTCTCTCTCTCTCTCTCTCTCTCTCTCTCTCTCTCTCTCTCTCTTTTGCCCTTTTAAATCCTTCCCTTCCCTTCTGTAGAACTAAAAGTTTTTAAAAAAATTAAATCCATACCTCCGTGCTTGAAGTTGCGAGCGAAATCAAGTGGTGTCCTTGAATTGCAGACAAGCAACGTGTCAGATTTCAGATCGGCGGGCGGGCAAAGCTGTTGAAACTTGCCCTTAACTCTTAATTAAGTGAACTAAAAACCCAGCAAAATATTACGGCGTAATATTTTTAATCAGATCTGTCTTCCCACAGCAAGGGCTGTATTGACATTTACAGGCCTGCCGAGGGTGTCCAACTTTGCAATGCAGAAAATTTGACTCTTATAACTAATCCCAGAGGCGAAGATGCCCTCAAAAAGGAAGGTGAGATTTTGCCCGGAGTCATCTATTCCTACAAACCTAGTGGTGGGATTCAGCCGGTTCGCACCATTTCAGGAGAACCGGTTGTTAACTTTCTGAGCAGTTTGGTGAATTGGTTGTTGGAAGAAATCATTAGGGCAGAGAACCGGTTGTTAAATTACTTGAATCCAGTGATGGGATTCAGCCGGTTCGCACCACTTCGGGAGAACCGGTTGTTAACTTTCTGAGCAGTTTGGCAAACTGGTTTTTGGAAGAAATCGTTAGGGCAGAGAACCAGTTGTTAAATTACTTGAATCCCACCACTGTACAAACCACAATGGGCCCAATCTTGTGATCAACCATGACCTGGATGACTGAGAATCTCTACAGACTTTTAGCTATGGAATTTGGGATGAACAGCCTTCAAATGGTATGCAAGTAGGAACGGATTTCCAGAAAAATTACAGACTCCAGGAACCATTAGCGCTACTCAGGTGACCCTGAGGACAAAGGCAAACCTCCAAGTGGCCTCAACGACCCTCTAAAAGGATGCAAATGACCCGCTGTCTGCAAGGAATATAAATGTTCCCCACCATCCAGTCAGAGCGGAAGAAGCTTCTTGGATGAGAAGCAAAATGTCTTCCAAGAAAAAAAACAAGAATGTCGAGTTGCCTCCTGAAAAAGTACCTCTGGGACAATGGGCTCAATCCAACAAAATGAAATATAATGTGGAGAAAAGCAAAATTTTACATTTAGGAGAGAAAAACCAAAGTTACAAGTACAGATGAGGTGAAACCTGGCTCAAAAACAGTAATTGTGAGAAGGAACTTGGAGCCCTAAAGGTAAAAGTAAAGGTTCCCCTCGCACGTATGTGCTAGTCGTTCCCGACTCTAGGGGGTGGTGCTCATCTCTGTTTCAAAGCCGAAGAGACAGTGCTGTCCGAAGACGTCTCCGTGGTCATGTGGCCGGCATGACTCAACGCCAAAGGCGCACAGAACGCTGTTACCTTCCCACCAAAGGGGGTCCCTATTTTTCTACTTGCATTTTTTAAAAGTGCTTTCGAACTGCTAGGTTGGCAGAAGCTGGGACAAGTCACGGGAGCTCACCCCGTTACGCGGCACTAGGGATTCGAACCGCTGAACTGCCGACCTTTCGATCACCAAGCTCAGCGTTTTAGGCACTGAGCCACCGCATCCCCCTCTTGGAGTCGTAATGGACGATTACTTAAATATGAGCCAGCCGTGTACAAAAAAAACGTAACAATGTCCTTGATTGTATAAACAGAATCAAAATCATGGGAAGTAGTAGTACCTCTTTATAAAACCTTAGTAAAGCCCCACCTGGAATACCGCATCGAGTTTTGGTCACCACGTTATAAAAAAAGCAATGTTGAGACTTTGGAAAAAGTACGGAGAAAGGCAACTAAGATAATTAAAGGCCCGGAGACTAAAACATATGAAGAACAGGGTATGGCCAGAAGGACTAGAACAGCGGTCACCAACTGGTAGTCCACAAGAAAATTTTGGTGGTCCGCAGAAAAATTATTTGCATTTTTTATATTGCACTAAATCAGGGGTCCTCAAACTACGATCCCTGGGCCGGATACATGCAATGAACGTTTGTGTTGCTGCAAAGAGTCTCCCCCTTTGGGGTCTTTTTGTGTGGATCGGAGAGGGGCAGAGATTCTGACTTGGGGTCTGCTTCAGCCTCCTGGTGTGGGGCTTTGGGCGAAGGCTGGAGGGAAGTGCCGCTGGTGGCAAAGAGCCGGAGGGCCTTGTTCCAGTGGGACTGCATCATGGCGTGGAACTGGCTGACTATCTCAGCCCGCTGAGCCTCCAGGCGCCGGTATCTGGCCTTGCAGTCCCGCAGGTCTTCCCTCTGCTTGGAAAGCCTATGCTCCTAGTCCTCAGTGAGGTGCTTCTGCTGAGCCTCCTTCTTGGTCAGATCCAATTTGAACTGAGCCAGTTATTTTTCCAACTCTTTCTCGTGGTGGCTGCTTAGCTCCAATAACTGCTTCCTTTTGGGGCCTAAAGAGTCCGGGTGGGGAGGGGAGGAGTGGCTGGGAGGGGAGGGGCAAGTAGAGGTTGGTGAGGCGCCCCTCGATGTGAGTGACATCGAGTTGACCACGCCCACCAAGTCACATGACCAACTAATCACGCCCACCCAGCCGGTCATTAGGCAGATCATGTTAGTGGTCCGCGGGGTTTAAAATTATGGATTTAGTGGTCCCTGAGGTCTGAAAGGTTGGTGACCCCTGGACTAGAAGGGGACATGATAGCAATATTCCAATATTTGAGAGGCTGCTACAAAGAAGAAGAGGTCAACTTATTTTCCAAACCACCAGAGGGCAGGACAAGAAACAAAGAATGGAAACGAATCAAGGAGAGAAGCAATCTGGAATGAAGAAGAAACTTCCTAACAGTGAGGACAATTAACAGAAGTTGCCACCAGAAGTTGTGGGGGCTTCATCACTGGAGGTTTTTAAGAAGAGACTGTCACTTGTCTGAAATGGTATAGGGCAGTGATGGCTAACCTTTTTGCCATCGCGTGCCAGGAACGCGGGGGGGGGGGTTAGTCACGCCTGCGCATCCACACCTATAATTCTATGCACCTCATGCATGCACGCACAACCTCCCCACTCCTCCTGCTCCTGACATGCGATGGCCCAGTAGGCCCGTTTTTGGCTGTTCCCAGGCTCCAGAGCCTTTCGTTTTTGGCCTCCCCAGACTTCTAGAAAGGCTCTGGGCCTGGGGACAGCAAAAAAATGGGTCTTCCAGTCCCACCAGAAGTTTCCGGCCTCTGGAGGGCCTCCAGGGGACTGAAAGCTGTTTTCGCTTTCCCCAGGCTCCTAGAAAGACTCTAGAGCCTAGGGACAGCAAAAAAAATGGGTCTTCCGGTCCCACCAGAAGTTTCCGGCCTCTTGAGGACCTCCAGGGGAGGGAAGGCTGTTTTCACCCTCCCCAGACTCCTAGAAAGGCTCTAGAGCCTAGGGACAGGAAAAAAAATAGGTCTTCCGGTCCTACCAGAAGTTTCCAGCCTCTTGAGGGCCTCCGGGGGGGGGGGGGGTGTTTTCACCCTCCCCAGACTCCTAGAAAGGCTGTGGAGCCTGTGGAGAGAGAGAAAAACGGGCCTTCCCCACCACCACCCCCCAAGGCCCTCCGGAGGCAGGAAACAGCCTGTTTCCCTACTTCTGCGTGCCGAAGCTGAGCTCGCGTGCCCACCGATATGGCTACGTGTGCCACCTGTGGCATGTGTGCCATAGGTTCGCCATCACGGGTATAGGGTCTCCTGCTTGAGCAGAGGGCTGGACTACAAGTCCTCCAAAGTCCCTTCCAGCTCTATTCCGATTGATTGATAGAACCTGCTTCACATCGAAGTCAATTCTGTCTGACCTTTCTTAGCAACGACATAGAAGCCGCTGAGAAGATGCACTTTATTCTGCCAAGCTAGATTAGCTAGTATGATTTCCTGCTGATCCTCATTCCACGCGCTAACCAAGTCTAAACCTGTTTAAGCTTTCTCTGAAATCAGCCAAGGCCGATTGCCGTACACACACTAGAATCGTGATGCTGGCAAAATTCAAGCAACAGCCCGCTTGAAAAGGTTGCATTCGATTCAATTTGAATTCAGGAGCTGCCTGCGTGGGGGAAGTTTATACTACACAGCAGTGGTGAAATCTAAAATTTGTTACTACCGGTTCTGTGGGCGTGGGTTGGTGGTGGGGGGGGGGGAGTAATGTGACTGGCTGGGTGTGGCCAATTTTTTTTTTAAGTTTTAAAACCATTTTTTCTACAACCTCTTCTCAGGCGAAGAGGTTGTAAAAAAAAATGCTTTCAAAAGCCTCTGACAATCCCAGCTGAGTTGCCTGATCGGCAGAGGCTTTTTTTTCCTTTTAAATGCCTCTGACGATCAGGCAACTCAGCTTGGATCGTCAGAGGCCTTTAAAAGAAAAAAAGCCTCTGACAATCAGGCAACTCAGCTGGGATCGTCAGAGGCCTTTAAAAGAAAAAAAAGCCTCTGACGATCAGGCAACTCAGCTGGGATCGTCAGAGGCTTTTAAAAGCATTTTGAAAAATGCTTTTAAAAGCCTTTGACGATCCCAGCTGAGGTGCGGGATCATCAGTGGCTTTTTTTTAAAAAAAGCATTTTTTTCGGCGAAAGAGGTTGTAGAAAAAATGCTTTTAAAAGCCTTTGACGATCGCAGCTGAGGTGCGGGATCATCAGTGGCTTTTTTTTAAAAAAAAGCATTTTTTCGGCCGAAGAGGTTATAGAAAAAAATGCTTTTAAAAGTAAAAAAAAAAAGCCTTTGATGATTGTGAGGCTCAGCTGGGCATGGGAGGGTGGGGGGATTTTTGCTACTAGTTCTCTGAACCACCCGCCTCCATTGCTACCGGATTGGCCGATCCGGTCCGAACCGGAAGCATTTCACCCCTGCTATACAGTGCATTTGTCTACTATAAGTCCTTGTTTCTCAACCTTAGTGACTTTAAAATGTGTGAAATGCATGGGGGGAAAAAAGGTCCACTTATGGCATAATTTCCACCACCAAGTTCTCACGTTCCCTCCCACGTACAGGTCCTCGTCTTATATTAGTTCATTTAGTGACCATTCAAAGTTATAACGGCACTGGAAAACAGGGACGTATGACCATTTTTTTACACTTAACGACCCTTGCAGCAGCATCCCCCCAGTCAGGTGATCAAAATTCGGAGACCTGGCCACTGATTCATATTTATGACGGTCGCAGTGTCCCGAGGTCATGGGATCCGCTTCTGCGATCTTCTGACCAACCAAAGTGGACGGGGAAACCAGATTCCCCTTAACAACCGTGTTTCTCACTTAACTTCAGTGATTCACTTAACAACTGGGGCAAGAAAGGTCATACACTCACTTAACCAATGATCTATTTAACAACAGAAAATTTGGGCTCCATGATAGTCGTACGTCGAGGACTAGCTATATCAAGTGCGAGAGACTTTTGTATTGCAAAGTTACTAGTTGGGTTTTTTTTTTTTAGACTCTACCCCACAAATTTTCAAACTAACCATGTAAACAGCTCTAAAAGGAATTGAAAATAAAAAAACCTACCGCCTCTGAAGTATCTTAAGTTTCTGAAGTATGAAAGAGGAGAAGAGGAGAAAGAGGCAAGAAAAGCTTTCATGGTTTTCACAGCTGACAAGTAGGACACTTGATGGAGTACAAAATGCGTCTAAACATGTGTGAGTACACCTTAAGTCAAAGTTTAAGCTCTTGCAAAGGGAAGTGGAGCACTGTTACTACTTCTTAATGCTTGTGCTCTCTGATGGAATATCAGACCTGACTTTAATTAATAGAACTGCTAGGATGGGGTGGGGGTGGAATGGAATGGAATAATAGAGAAGAATGGAATGGAATGGAATGGAATGGAATGGAATGGAATGGAATGGAATAGAATAGAATAGAATAGAATAGAGTAGAGTAGAGTAGAGTAGAGTAGAGTAGAGTAGAATAGAATAGAATAGAATAGAATAGAATAGAATAGAATAGAATAGAATAGAATAGAATAGTTGAATGAGGAATGGAATGGAATGGAATGGAATGGAATGGAATGGAATGGAGTGGAGTGGAGTGGAGTGGAGTGGAGTGGAAAATAATAGAATAGAATAGAGTGGAGTGGAGTGGAAAATAATAGAATGGAATAGAATGGAGTGGAGTGGAGTGGAGTGGAGTGGAGTGGAGTGGAATGGAATGGAATGGAATGGAATGGAATGGAATGGAATGGAATAGAATAGAATAGAATAGAATAGAATAGAATAGAATAGAATAGAATAGAATAGTTGAATGAGGAATGGAATGGAATGGAATGGAATGAAGTGGAGTGGAGTGAAGTGGAGTGGAGTGGAGTGGAGAGGATTGGAGTGGAGTGAAGTGGAGTGGAAAATAATAGAATAGAATAGAGTGGAGTGGAGTGGAAAATAATAGAATGGAATAGAATGGAGTGGAGTTGAATGGAATGGAATGGAGTGGAGTGAAGTGGAGTGGAAAATAATAGAAAAGAATGGAGTGGAGTGGAGTGGAGTGGAGTGGAGTGGAGTGGAGTGGAATAGAATAGAATAGAATAGAATAGAATAGAATAGAATAGAATAGAATAGAATAGAATAGAATAGAATAGAATAGAATAGGAAGTGGAGCACTGTTACTACTTCTTAATGCTTGTGCTCTCTGATGGAATATCAGACCTGACTTTAATTAATAGAACTGCTAGGATGGGGTGGGGTGGAATGGAATGGAATAATAGAGAAGAATGGAATGGAATGGAATGGAATGGAATGGAATGGAATGGAATGGAATAGAATAGAATAGAATAGAATAGAGTAGAGTAGAGTAGAGTAGAGTAGAGTAGAGTAGAATAGAATAGAATAGAATAGAATAGAATAGAATAGAATAGAATAGAATAGAATAGAATAGTTGAATGAGGAATGGAATGGAATGGAATGGAATGGAATGGAATGGAATGGAGTGGAGTGGAGTGGAGTGGAGTGGAGTGGAAAATAATAGAATAGAATAGAGTGGAGTGGAGTGGAAAATAATAGAATGGAATAGAATGGAGTGGAGTTGAATGGAATGGAATGGAGTGGAGTGAAGTGGAGTGGAAAATAATAGAAAAGAATGGAGTGGAGTGGAGTGGAGTGGAGTGGAGTGGAGTGGAGTGGAGTGGAATGGAATGGAATGGAATAGAATAGAATAGAATAGAATAGAATAGAATAGAATAGAATAGA